GCATACAGTTGGACATCAAGCCACAACCCCGTCTCTTCCTTTATCCGCCTCCCCAAGCTCAGGCCAGGTCAGAAGGGAAATTTTATTTCTGGGGTATGGAAGGTCAATAGGGAACATTTCCAGAAAAGGTGTATTTTTAATCTAGGGAACACAAATTACTTCTAGAGAGCTCTTGGACAGCACAATGCAGCTTGTACCCCCTACACTCAGGAATTACAGCATGAGTACAAGTAACACAATTTCAATGTTTCTCTGGTCTTATGCAATATAGTGTTTTCTGCCAAATTTCAGTCATTTCCATCCTCAGTGCTGAGGAAGAGGGCTTTAGAAATTTCCAGGAGTTCTCCAATCTTCAAAAAAACAGTTAGTTCGATATAGAGTGGAGAAATCCAAACTCCTGACCATCAGCAACATAGCAATTCACACTTAACCATGGGGTCCAATCTTCCAAACACTGCTGTGAGGAGGGATAGCTCAGTGCTGTGCTTTGTGCTTCCTGGTGTGAGTAGTCCTGAAGGACTCCATTTGACAAATTCACAGCATTAAGTTTTGCAGTATCGGGCTCTATATATGCTAAAATGTATGTATGTTAGGGACTATTTAGTATAAGATCCGCACAAAACTAAGTTCTGTCCTAATGTACTAGAACATGTGTTTTGGGGTCCATCTTTCCTCTTTTCATGTAGGCCAACAACTCAAGCTTTTTTTTAGCCATTTCCTCTTTTTATTAGACAAATGTGATATATAATGTAGCCCTTCATAACTAGATCCGTCTTTTCTACAACCGTAATCTGTCTCTGCAGGCCAAAGTTGCAGCTCACACCACACTTTCTCAGAGTCAGTGTTTGCGAAACAAGCAGAATGGCCAAACTCTACCACTGAAGGTGCACATGTGGCTGTCATTGACTTCCCTTTTTTCACTTTCCCCAAGTTCCTGTAACTGACTTCACCTTTCCTTGTATGCAGTGTTGGTGTAGCCATGTCGGTCCCAGGATATTAGAGAGACAAGGTTGGTCAGGTAATATTTTTTATTGGACCAACTTTTGTTGGTGATAGCTCTGTGTGGCTCAAAAGCTTGTCTCTCTCACCAACAGAAGTTGGTCCAAGATATTACTTCACCTTTCCAAAACAGAAATTCCTTTCATCGTGTCTTAACTGATACTTGGCTGCTGCCTAAATACACTAATTTTAAGATCTATTGGGAATTAGAATAAAGTTTGGTATAGCTAAACTGTGAGGAAAGGGGGAGTGTTAAATTAAATTCACCTTTGTTTTTATCAGTCATTTAGATATTACTGGAAGTGTGCTAAATGCTTTATAGGCAACACCAGGTCCCTGCCCTGAAAAGCTTACAATCTAAAGTAGGTAATGTATAGACAGAAGATGGGATGCATCAAGACATATGATTGAAAAGTGAAGTTTAGCACATATGATCAGTTGTACTGTGTGGTATTTTACAAATCCTTCTTTGAGGCTTTGACTCGAAGGACTAGTGTGGAGGCATAACTGATCAGGTCTCTGAGGGTATTCTAGGTTCATCGAGTCACATGGTACGGCTACTGTAAATATATCTAACAGAATGGAATCCCATCCCAAGCAAGCCACCAACATCAAAGCAGAGCTAGGATAACATTACTTCATAAAAATCATTATCCCCCTGTTACTCCACAGGAGTCTCCCTTCAAATAAAAGGTAATTGCTCACATGGATTCCAGAAGTAATGACAGCACAGAGATTAGTTTGTATGAACACAATTACAGGGGTGAACTCTGGCCACTAAATTACCTAGTTTTAGTATGGATAAAAACCTATTGCTCAAACTTCAAGAGCATAGGGAAATTACAGTCACACAATGTGATGTATACATGTGAGGCTGTGGGGTCAAACAGTACTGGACTTACAGTAAAATACCAACACACTGAAATTTAGCTCTCACTATTGTTAGCATCACTTATCTCCTAGTGTCATTTTATCAGCATTAAACCAGTTAGTGCGAGACACTGAAGCTACCAATATATATGATTTACACAGGTATGTACCTAATCTGTCCATCTACCAAGACTCTGAGCACCAACACAATTATATCAGGCAACAATCAAAAACTACTCTCAGCTCCTCCTTAATATACTGATAAAATATGAGAGAAAATTTTACTTTTAAGAGGTTCTTTTAATCTGTTTTTAATGTAGGGATTATTTACATACTCATCTTGTTTCTGAGTCAGTCTTCAGGACTACTGTAGAAAAGCTATAGGAAAGAGATGTGCCTCTTTGGTGGGCTTTTTAAACACTGGGATGCTTGACTGATTTCTTTCTGTTCTGTAGTACAGAAAGGGTACATTACTGAACTAACCAAACCACTAACCATCTTAGATACAAACCACAACTAACAAATCAGTCTTGATAACTACAGTGCTAAGACCGTTCCTGTACTGCAGTTATTCAGTTTTCTAACCATAGACCCCTTAAGGTTTCCAGATACATTTCTAAGGGTAGGTCTACACTACCCGGTAGTTCGGCGGCAAGCAAATCGAACTTCTGGGTTCGACTTATCACGTCTTGTCTGGACGAGATAAGTCGAACCCGGAAGTGCTCGCCGTCGACTGCGGTACTCCAGCTCAGCGAGAGGAGTACCGCGAAGTCGACGGGGGAGCCTGCCTGCCGCGTCTGGACCGAGGTAAGTTCGAACTAAGGTACTTCGAACTTCAGCTACGTTATTCACGTAGCTGAAGTTGCGTACCTTAGTTCGAATTGGGGGGTTAGTGTAGACCAGGCCTTAGAATAATAAGCTAAATTCAATATGTTCCTTCAACTGTATTCCACTAGCAGAGTGGTTTCCAACCTTTTTACGCCCAAGATCACTTTTTGAATTTAAGGGCAACTTAGGATCTGCCCCGCCCCTTCCCTGAAGCCTCCCCACCCCCCGCTCACTCCATCCCCCCCTCTCTCTGTCACTTGCTCTCCTCCACCCTCACTCACTTTCACTGGGCAGGGGTTTGGGAGGGGGTGCGGGCTCTGGCCTGGGGCTCAGGGGTTCGCAGTATGGGAGGGGGCTCCAGGCTGAGCCTGGGGCTGGAGGTTGGGGCGCAGGAGGGGGCTTCGGGCTGTGGCAGAGTGTTGGGGTGCAGGAGGGGGTATGGGATGCTGGCTCTGGGAGGGGGGTCAGGGATGGGGCAGGGGGTTGGGGTGCAGGAGGGAGTACGGATGCTTACCTGAGGCGGCTCCCAGTTGAAGGCGCAGCGGGGCTAAGGCAGGCTCCCTGCCTGCCTGGGGCCCTCACCACTCCTGGAAGGGGCTAACATGCCCTTCCGGCCCCTGGTGGGGGCACATGGCTCCACACGTTGCCCCTCTCTGCAGGCACCGCCCCCGCAGCAGAGAGGGGCAGTTCCCCATTTCCAGCCAATGGGAGCTGCAGGAGAGGTACTTGCAGGCAGGAGCAGCATATGGAGACCGCTGCACGCCCCTCCCCTGCCCCGGGCCGCGAGGGCATGCTGGTCGCTTCCGGAAGCGGCATGGCACTGCGGCAGGCAGGGAGCCTGCCTTAGCAGCAGCCCCGCTACATCACCAATGATTGTGATCGACTGGGAGATTCTCCAGGATCGACCAGTCGATCATGATCGACCGGTTGGTGACCACTGCACAAGTAGAGATGCCACATGGCAATAGACAAAAACATTTTGCTGCACTCCCCAAACTGAACAACAGATGGTGTTAGAGATGATACCAGATTAATGCTAACTCCTCTCTAATTCATTCTGTTTCCAGATTCCCAATTCTTACTAGAGCGCTTGCTCCTGGGGCCCACAAAACCTACAGCCAAGGAAGCAGCTGGGGTAATTCACAATTTTTTAGTCAGCCATGAATTATATGTGGAACTGTGGGTTCTGCTGCTATACTAGGACACCAATCTAGTAAATCTAGTCTCTCTGATCTCAGGAAAAGATAATTAAATGAACTTCAGTATGTTTACTAGGAGCCATTCTAGCCATGACACCATCTTTTTTATTTGGACCACTGCAGCAGTGACAAGTTCACCCGAAATCAGTGGAATAGAAACAGTAAGTAGAAAAGCTGGGTGAGATGAAAATAAGAGAGAATATGGGGAAATTTGGCCGTAAGATTGTGAAGGAGGAGAATCTTAAAGAAAATCTCCAAGATCTTAATGTCGTCCCTGGCTTTTGTCATGAGGCAAAAACCCACCATTCTCATAGTATTCACTACATGGAATAAGCAGTTAATTCAGCCCTGTGTATACAAGCAAGAATCACAAATCTGTAATTTGACATCTAATCCCTTTTATAGGATACTGGAACAGTAGGGTCACTTGGGGTCATGGACTGGTGGTTCTTTGCCACCAGGATAATGATCTCTGTTACAGTATTATATTTGGTGCTCCTCAAGACATTCAATACAATAACACAAGTTTGTATCTAGTAATTTCCCTTCAGTACACGGGTGCCCTACAATTGGTAAATAAAAGGAAAAAAGACACACATCTATTTCAAGTGATCTTTATTCAAGATATAACAACAGTTCTCCATCTAGGCCAGGTGTACTGCTCGGCCCATGTGCCCTACATGCCAACTGCTCCTCCCTGCCTTTCCAATGTATGGAGACCTAAGAATATGTTATACAGTAAATAGTACTCAAGGGTAACCTCATCATCCCCAAAAATTCTTCTTTGCTGGTTTGGCTTTTGTTGGACATGTTGATAAGGTAACTGGGTTTATACTCAGCAACCTGTACAAAAACAAAAAATACTTATTAGAAACATACCAACGCTCAGGATAAAAGGCAAATTACGTTACTGGTTCACAATATGAACTTACTCTGCTGGAATCTACACCCAGTTTATCCCTTGAGGCAATGAAGACGGTGGATCATTTTTCTGCAATGTAAAGCAACAAAGCATGCATGATAAGTCAATGCTTTAGTGTAGACAGAGAAGCAAAAGCACGTTAGGATGTGCAAGGTGAAATATATGGAGATAATACTATGTACCTTTGATAAATTCTTCCACGGAAAGAACAACTCAAGCTTCAAAGTAATATTCTAGACACAACCAAGGTTCATAATTCTAACAACAACAACGAGAAAAAATTCGGTATCACAGCAACTTCTAAACTTTATTTATTAGCTAAAAACATTGCTATGGAAATTATAGTACTGTATAACCAATGTAAAAGATTAACATTTAGCAGGATAGGCCAAAATGTTATTTTAAAATCACATTTCTTCACCAAAGTTATTGTTCTAGGAGATTGCTAAAACTAAACATTTAAAATATTTTTTTCATAATACATACTTTTTATTTTTTGCATTTCATTCAATTTGGAGGACAATAGATCAGTTTCACTTTTGTCTTTACCCCAGCGTCTAGATTGTTTCACGTTCTGGATCTTATTTCCAGAATTTGATATATGTTATGAATACTATAAGGAAATATTTGTATACAAACAAAACTTTTTTGATTTTAATATGGTTAATTTGGTTAAGAGTTCTATTAATATTAAATCTGTACAACTTTTTAAAAAAGGTTTTTCACCAAAACTTGAATTATGTGACTGTCCAATAAAATTTAGCAATAATTTTAATTGCAATTGTAAAATTGCTTACCTCCCCAGAGTCACCACTCTGTGGTCCAGATACAGGTAGGCCAGCTTCGCTAACATACAGTCCAGCAGCCATTGGTCATGTGATTTTCCGTGCATTGGCTTCAATGGGATTGAACAGGATGAAAATGTGCACCTCTGGACTTCGATGCTTGAATCTCATTGCAACACATTGTATGTGATTATACAGTATCCATAATTCTTAAGTCTGAAAAATTTTCTGACCAATGCAACCAAGTGGACTGCCTGAAGAGTCAATAGGTAAAAAGTCATAACTAGAGTGAAACAGGAACCATCATTGGCCGATGTAGCCTATAGGTATAAGTATTTATTAGGTAATGCATAGGTATAAGTAAAGGCAGTAATGCAATGAGCCTCAAGGCTTGTAAGACAATAGCCTAGCTAAACTAATCAAGACATGAGGCCCAAAAAAGTCTTAGCATAAGTAGCTAACCAAGAGTAACCCTAAATCATAAGATATCGTAATATAGAATGCTGAATGACAAAACTGCTGGTAGGTAACTACAAGATGCTAATTTATATCCACTTGGAATATTTTAAGTTAGTGACATCAGCTGATGTCTGACCACCAGTGTGCCATGGTAACTAACTAATGCAGTGGTTCTTAACCTGGGATGCACGCACCCCCTGGGGGTGTGAGACAGGCCAGATTTTTTTAGAAGGTAAATCATCGAAATACAAATTAAGCACAGGCACATAAGTACAACTACTTTGTTTCATCAAACCTATGTATTTTTTAACATTATACATTTTTAACGATTACTGCATTAAATTTTAACTGCAAAATTAAAATAAATATATAGTTCTCTTTCATTCTATAATTATGATATATCTAGGTTTAAAGAACTGAGCTACTTTAATGATTTTTGATAAGGGGTGTGAGACTATATTTTTGAGAACCAAAGGGGTGCAGGCTGCAGTAAAGGTTAAGAACCTCTGAACTATTTTTATACTAATAAGATTGAAGTACAAAGATTAATAACCTATGGGAGAAGGGCATCCCAACATGAGTTAGGGAGAGAAACTATAAATAAAGAAAAGGGAGTGAAACTCCTACTGAATATGCATTAGGTTTAGTGATGTTAAAATAACACATTATAAAACCTATATCCCAGGCTGTGTGCCTTTGGAGATGCAGTTTACAGAGAATCTGCCCCAGCAGCCTGGTTGCTCATATTCAGATGGAGTGCTGCTTGCTGGGACTTGTGGAGTCCATGGGTTTCAACTCCACACTAAAAATGGAACATCTGCTGTCAGCTCCTCTTAATACAACACAACCAGTGGTGGTGTTGATGAGGAAGGAAATGAGGAGGAGGAAGATCATGACTAACATTTTAGGTTGTTCTGCAAGGGATGGTGAGAGTATATGGATGTTCAGGTGTATTGTATTATCTCTTTTTACCTTGCTGGGTTAGAGTGTTTGTGACTTTGCTAACTGTATTCATAAAACAATTATAAATATAGTGAGATTTCCTACATGTAAGTGTTGCAACAATGCACATTGGGGTTCCCAATTTAACAGTAATTTTAATAATATTGGGCCAGATCTTAGGACAAGAACCTATCAAGCCTCAGAATGCTAACTGAGAATTCTTAAGCAAGCAATATAATAATCAATATATAATCAATAGATTATATCAGGCAACACTGAGAACACTGTATTTCAGGGACTGCCCATGGAGCTCTAAAAGAAAGTTCCACACATCTTTGTCTTCAGTACAAAGATGCAGTTTACAGAAAATCTGCCCCAGCAGCCTGGTCGCTCATATTCAGATCGAGTGCTGCTAGCTGGGACTTGTGGAGTCCATGGGTCTCAACTCCACACTAAAAATGGAACATCTGCTGTCAGCTCCTCTTAATACAATGTCCTTGAGCTCCTGACAAGTTGCCAAAAGCACTATCAGTTGGGCAAAATTTCAGTGCCACATGATGGTGTCTGTATACTCTTACACCATTCAATTGGCCTGCCTTTCTCCTTAAACTATGTGGCTCATATTTGTACTATAATGCAGAAACTATACATAGACTCTAAAACAAGAGATTGCTGTCTAACAGGCCAGCTGTGAAAAGGGTGTGGGGGGGAAAACAAGGTTAAAGCTTGTGTCCTTTGATCACTTGCAAGTTATGAGTTTGCTGACTCAGCCTTTTCTGAAAGTAGCATTCCTAGTTAAAAAACTGCAGCTTCTTCTGTATCCTGATCTTGTTCCACATTTTAACAATTCACGACATGAATGCTCCTGATAGCAATGAACAGACTGTGATAAGCCACTAAATTTTGTTGCTAATCTTTGAAGGGTGGAGGAGAGAGAGTTAGCAATTGATATGTCAGGATTGAAATAGCCACACATCTGTCCATGGTGTGAGAAGAAATCCACCTTCTCATTACGGTACTTTACTAGTAATAGTACTTGCATCAATGAGAAATTAAAAAAAAAAAAGGAAAGGGTCTCTCTTTAAATCATAGCCATGTACAGCAGGCTCTACGCATCTTGTTTAGTTATGAGAGATTTAAAGGAACAATTAATGCCTTTAAACAAGAGGGTGATTTACTCAATATAATCCTATTTCACAGCTTTCCCAAATACAACATACATATTTAGTTACTAAAAGAGCAAATAAAGAATTCCGGAAGAGAATGTGAATGCCTCATTCTTGGCAAAGGGAATAAGAGGCAGCTGCAAAGATAAAAGGGAATGTTATAAAACTCAGCTAGGGTGTAGCCAAAGAATAGCTTCACCAAACCTAACTAGACAATTCCCCCATTTTATCTTTAGTGATGAGAGAGAGTATACTTAGATCTCCAAAATGAAACACAGGCATCTGTGAAAAATTATACATGGAGAATACAGGCAACATTCAATCTATCCATCAAAGTTTTAGTTGTATGAAACATGGGAATGAAATGGTTTAAAGCATGATCTTTGAGAGTGGAATTACATGTAACAGGTCTTGACTATCATAGTAAGAATCCTGCTACTATTTTTCCTTCCAGGCAACAAAAAGGATTTGTATCTTTAATTCAGTTTGTAGTTTGCAGCTACAGAACTCCTTCATAAATAAACATATGTTGTGCTCCCCAGTCTATTTGTTATACCCAGCTCTTCTCATTTGTTTTATACTTAGCTCATAAGTGCTTTGGGGCAGGGACCATGTTTTAATTATGTTGTGTATGACACCTACCACAATAAGGCCTTGATCCTTGACATGACAGATGGCATGACCACAACACAAATAAACAACTGTTGCAACAAAAGGAATACATATTGACTGTGCTAGGTGGGAAATGCTGCTAAAATGGATCAGACACATGATTCTAAAGACATCTTCAATAAAGCAAAAGTGGGTTAGAATTCATGAAGAACATAGGCAGAAACACTGGGCCAAATTAGGTACTCACACCCACTTGGCTGAGGGCTGGTCTTCACTACGGGGAAATCGACGCTGCTGCAATCGATACAGCAGGGGTTGATTTAGTGGGTCTAGTGAAGAACAGACACTAGAGAACAACAAGATGGAATCTTGTAAATTCTGCACTTTGTTTATGAAAGGAAGCTGCAGCAGAGGATAGATAATTCCAGGGAATGCTCAATCTATGGAAGGGTTTAACTTTTTTCACATCTTCAAAAATGCTGTGATTACATTTTCTCAGAGCATTTTCTGGCAAAATTTCCTGACTTGGTATTTCCTTTTATTACCAAATACATTTAGCAGCATTCCTTCTGGAGCCCTCCAAAGTGATCTCCTTAGGCTAAACACATGCAAGTCAGTACCTTAACAAGCCTTGCCATCTAGCCCCAAAGAGAGTATTAGTCATCTGAATTCCACTTACTATTCTCATTTCTGTATGCCTACTTAGGAATTTTGTTAATGCTGCATTTTGTTCAAAAAGAACAGAAGTCTACTCCATTTGGAAATTTTATATGGAGTTGAAAGAAGTATTCCACTGTAATCTATTGTATGTGAAAACACAGAAAGAAGAATTGTCCACTTGCATGCAATGCATGTGTGCATGGATGTATTTGTAGTCAATGTTTTGACAGGCTGCTTTCAGACTTTGAGACTTTTTTTTTTTTTACACTGATCTGATGATTTACACTATTTTTATTTTCTTGGAGCCATGTACTACAATTCCCTGAACCATGCTCAGTTCTTTTTGATCTCAGCAGCTGTTGCACAATTGGAACAAGATCACATACACAGCCTCCTCTCTGTTATAAGCTACTTTTTAAGACTCACAAAATAGAAGATTTTTAAAAAATGAATGCACTGATTTGTTTTCAGTGAATTGCTACATCATGAAGCTGCCTTCGGAGGCTGCTTTCCACCAGGATCCCCCTGTACAACAATTATCTAGTGGGACCCATTGCCATAGGCAGGAGTGCCGCCAGCTTTTCTGTCGCCCTAGGCGACAGAAGGGCCCGCCCCGAAATACCGGCGCGGTCGCCGCCCCCCAAATTGTAGCACTCTAGGCGACCAGCTAGGTCACCTAATGGGTTGCGCCGGCCCTGTCCATAGAATGAAGAAAGGACTTAAAAAACCCAGCCACTCCCTGGCCAGCCTAGAAGACTCCTTGCTAGGTTGCCCTCCACCAGGGTACAGCATAAATTTTTTGGGGGTGGGAGGGTTGCTTTTCGGAGTCCCGATCTAGCAAAGCTTTCAAGCACATGTATAGTCCCACTGATGTCACTGATTACTCATGTGCTTAACACTAAGCATAAGCTTAAGTGCTTTGATGGATTAAAATCAAATTATTGCTGTAAAATCTTCCCTAACCAGAAGCAGGGTGCATGAGCATATGCCAGAACAAGAGGCATTCAGAATGGGCTGTTTCATGAAGCTCTGCCACAATCCCAATCTTCATGGCAAAGGGGACTTGGGGTGGTGCATCAAAGTTTTCCAACACTGAGACAGGTCTGTTAAGTCTAAGGTTCCCTCCCTCCCCTTCTTTGAGGATCCGCTTACACACTCCTCCTTGAAGACTGGTAAGGGAGGAAAGCTTTGCCTTCAGAGATGGCTTTATCAGCCTGTCCTAGAGGTTTTGAGCACTCTGCTGCAACAGTGGCCTATCAACAGAAATTAGAAGTGTTGCTAAGAATGCTGCTTTGTGGCCACACCTTACCAACTCTGCAGTCTTAAGCAGATCTTCACCTCTCTGCTTCGGTTCTCCCATCTGTAAAAAGGGCTAATTTCCCTGACTCCTATCATGACTATTGTGAGGATTAATGTCTGTAGAGTGCTTTTAAGACAAAAGAGTACTAAGTTTTATTTTTTTAAATAATTACTAGCTTGACAGATAAAAATATTAAAATACTACTCTATATTAAACTACCTTTTAATTTTAAAATACAAATACTGTGGCATGTCTACTTTAAAACTAAATGATGAAAATACATTCAAATATTGGTACTTCACTTTAATGAGTTCCCCATATGAACAGACTACAATACGACATATAAAGATACATTTTAAGCTACATAAAATTCAGTTAACTACCCTTAACATTTATAAAGCTGAAGAAGGAAAAAGAATGAATACATTCTTCACTCTTCCAACAGCAATTAAATTTTCTGAATTCTTTGGAGGAGTCTCATTCTTTCCTTACTCCTCTTCTCCTCTTTGCTCTCTTTCCTTAGTAGACTCTGGTTTCCTTCTTTCCTTATGGAACTCTTGTCTGGCCCTTCTTTCAATTTTTTTCCTTCGTAATCTTCATTTTCTCCTGTTTTTGCCACTTCTTGCTATTCTGTCCTCCCCTCATCGTTCCCCCATACTTAAACTTATCTATTCTCTTCTCACTGAGACTTTTCCTCTTTTCCAGCATTTTCCCCCTGTCGTATTTTCTTTTTCACTCTTTTTTTATTTCAGCTTTTTTCTTTTAATGGAAGCTTATTTTGGGGTTGAGGAACCAAAATGCTCCACATTAAGGTATGCCTCAATGGCACACAAGTAACACTTTTGGATGGTGACGGTTACATTCATTTCACTGGACAGTCTTTCCAATGACAGGCCAAAACATTATGCTGCTTGGTGACAAGGATGTGTACTCTCTTCATGTTGCCAGGCAATGCAAGAACAGTCTTCCTGAGCGTAGGTTCATATATCTCCAATGGCACTCAGGAGCAGAGACCATTAGGGCAGTTATTGCTAGGAACTGCTAGCCATTGCAACTCCTGCGGAAAAAGTCAAATAATAGTCTTTAACCCGCCAAGAGAAATAAAAGGAGACACACACCAAGGCCTCTTTCACGAAAGGCTGATATTATTATTGGTCATGTTTACTACGGTAGTACTCAAGGACAAGCAAGAAGTGATCACTATTGTGCAAGGTATTGTGCAAACCCAAATTAGTAGATGATTCTCACCCTAAAGAGCTTACAAGCTAAACAGAAAAAACAGGCACAGCATGGGGTACAGGATATGTCTTACACACAAGCAGAGTGAACAATGTGATGGCAGAAAACCTCATGTTAGTTCCATGATTTTGGGGTGATGGCAATCAGATAAATGGAAATAAGCATGAAGGAAGAGGGGACACTGAAGGGAAAGGGGATATGAGGGGACAGGACAAGAGTGAAGAGGGTTAGAAGTGCAGGTTTGGAGTGAAATTGAGGTGAAATGATTGTGAGGGAGGGGGAAAGAAAGGGTTGAAGCAAACAGCCAATCAGCACAGAACAGAGGAAGTCCAGAAAAAGTTCTCTAAATGTTTGATGGTCCCTGCCTTCTGCAGCTGGTCCTACAAGCTAGAGTCTGGGGTAGATGCCAGTGTGTCAAAAGTAGAGTGTGCCCTAATACCCCCATTTACATTCGACAAATATGAATATTGAACTCATCTTTCCTTAATGCCCATTCACCCCTTGTATCCTTAATCTCACTTTGATTCTAATGCCGGCTACTGATCCCTCAGGTTCCTGTAGCGGCAGCAGTCATTGCTTCCACAGTCTTAGTACTGGTCTACTTTAATTTGATACACCCACCACTACAAAGCTACTATAATTGGCTTGCCACCACCACTTGGAAATACATATAAGGTCTGTAAACAAGGTGAAAGCTGCACTGATTGTTTTCCAGCTAGCAGAAAATAAAGTACTTAACAAAGCTTCAAAAATAGCTTCTGGATTAAGCAAGATATTCTTATTCCAGGGCAAGTCCCAGAGTCAGTTTTCTTCACACATAAATTGTATAAGAGTTCTCTAATTAAGATTCAGTTGAGTGATGATGGCTGTTACTGCACCGTTATTTCAAAGTTAGTAACCTAACTAATTATTTCTCTTACTAAGGGTATGTCTACACTACGAGAGTAGTTCGATTGTACTTAAATCGAATATGTGGAATCGATATTACAAAGTCGAACATGTGTATCCACACTAAGGACTGTAATTCGACTTTGTGAGTCCACACTAACGGGGCAAGCATCGACATTGGAAGCGGTGCACTGTGGGCAGCTATCCCACAGTTCCCGCAGTCCCCGCTGCCCATTGGAATTCTGGGTCGAGCCCCCAATGCCTGCTGGGGAAAAAATGTGTCGAGGGTGGTTTTGGGTAACTGTTGTCATCCAACCGTCTCCCACCCTCCCTCCCTGAAAGCGCCGGCGGGCAATCAGTTCGCGCACTTTTCTGCTGAGTGACAGTGCGGACGCCACAGCAGTGCGAGCATGGAGCCCGCTGCGACCATCGCTGCAGTTATGGCCGTTGTCAACACCTTGCACCTTATTATCCACCTTTTCCAGAGGCAGATGCTGACAAATCGGGCGAGGAGGCTACGGCAGCACAGTGAGGACATGAAGTCTGAGAGTGGCACAGACCTCTCACAAAGCACGGGACCCCGCGCCGTGAACATCATGGTGGCAATGGGTCATGTTGATGCTGTGGAACAGCAATTCTGGGCCCAGGAAACAAGCACGGACTGGTGGGTCCGCATAGTGCTGCAGGTCTGGGATGAATCACAGTGGCTGCGAAACTTTCGTATGCGGAAGGGAACTTTCCTTGAACTTTGTGAGTTGCTGTCCCCTGCCCTGAAGCGCAAGGACACCCGGATGCGAGCAGCCCTGACTGTCCAGAAGCGAGTGGCCATACCCCTCTGGAAGCTTGCAACGCCAGACAGCTACCGGTCAGTCGCGAATCACTTTGGCATCGGCAAATCTACCGGGGGGATTGCTGTGATGCAAGTAGCCAACGCAATCGTTGAGCTACTGCTCTCAAAAGGTAGTGACTATTGGAAACGTCCAGGTCATCATAGATGGCTTCCCCGCGATGGGATTCCCAAACTGCGGTGGGGCTATAGATGGAACTCACATTCCTATCCTGGGACCGGACCACCAGGCCAGCCAGTACATTAACCGAAAGGGCTACTTTTCAATGGTGCTGCAAGCACTGGTGGACCATAGGGGACGTTTTACAAACATCAACGTAGGATGGCCGGGCAAGGTTCATGACGCTCGTGTTTTCAGGAACTCTGGTCTGTTTAGATGGCTGCAGGAAGGTATTTATTTCCCGGACCAGAAAATAACTCTTGGGGATGTGGAGATGCCTATAGTGATCCTCGGGGACCCAGCCTATCTCCTAACGCCCTGGCTCATGAAGCTATACAGGCGCCCTGGACACTGAAAAAGAACTCTTCAACTACCGTCTGAGCAAGTGCAGAATGATGGTGGAGTGTGCTTTTGGACGTCTCAAGGGGAGATGGAGAACCTTACTGACTCGCTCTGATCTCAGCGAAACCAATATCCCCATTGTTATTGCAGCTTGCTGTGTGCTCCACAATCTCTGTGAGAGCAAGGGGGAGACCTTTATGGCGGGGTGAGAGGTTGTGGCGAATAACCTGGCTGCTGATTACGCCCAGCCAGACAGCCGTGTGATTAGAAGAGCCCAGCAGGACGCGCTGTGCATCCGGGAGGCTTTGAAAACTAGGTTCCTCAGTGAGCAGGGTAACCTGTGACTATTAAGTTTGTTTAAAGAGAAGCTGAACCTGCCCCCGTTTCTTTACCAACTTACTGTTGACTATCCTCTCCAGCTACATTCCCCGTTCACCCCGTCCCCCCCCTTTCCAACACACGCTTAAAAATAAAATAAATGGAACTTTGTTAATGAACACCATTTCCTTTATTACAGATTTCGCGGTAAAGTGTTGAAACTCGGCCGCAGACTGTGGTGGGGAGTGGGCGTAGTGATGGAAAGAACACTTCTAAACTGGAGGAATGACAGGCTCCTGCTCCTAGAGCGGTCCGCAGTGGTGGACTGGTTGTTTCAACGGAGCCTGCCACCCCTCCTTTTCGGGACTCTGTGTGTGGGGGCTATTTGACTTTGTGGCGGGGGAGGATGGTTACAGATCCCCTGCTGCATGGCTCTGTGATCCAGGATAAGGACCGCTGCATAAGATCTCTAAACGCCCTCCCCCGCCACAAAGTCACATAGCGCCTCCCCCCCCCCCCCCGAACATGAAAACCACCTCCCAGATTGACCAGGGT